TCACGCGTGAAATTGGAACAAAATATCATGCTCGATATTAATTTTTTCACAGTTTTCACTCGGCTGTTGACAAAAGCAGGTCACTCTCGATCCACGACGATGCCACGTGATCGTCTGTTTTATCGGCAGCAACCATTGTGTGGTCCTCTTCATTGTTCTTCATCAGCAGTTCTTTCAGTCGGTGCGTCGTTGACTTTAGAAAGCAATCGTTTCGTGATGAGTGTGTGTGTGCTGACCACGTTTTGCGTCCATTGCTGCAATGGAAGCGCTCTGACCTCCGATGGCGTAACTGTCATACAATGAAACCACTAGAAGCGGCTCCATTTCTGATGGAGAAGGCTTTTTGGATAGGGGAAGATAAAGTGTTTATTGTGTTGTACCTTTTGACTATAGTTTTAAGATGTATTGGATAGTGACCAAGAATTCTCAGCTCTGTAAAGTTAATTCGTTTGAGCCTTATCAAATAAATTAATATACAAAAAAATTAATAATTTTTTCAAGCTCCTTTGATACTGTGAGACTGCTAACCATGTGTGAAATTACTGCTGAGAGTAGCGTTTTGTTAGCACGAAAAATAGTTCCAAAAATTAACTTTTTTTTTTTGAACTAACAAACTTGTTCCGTGGATATGCAGAAGGGTTCTTGGTCTATACCCTAATAAACAGGCATCAGACAAAAACAACTTCAGAATCGGTGCAGTCATGTATCACATAAGGTTGAAATGATACCCCGAATAGGGATTATGATTGATTTCTAAGCGAGTAGTAACAACGGGTGTCGAACTAATAATCCTTTTCCTTCCTAATGACGCCGTATGTGAAATCAATTAACAGATGTACTCAATCTACTTTGAATGCATTCCATAAAAAATAGTCTACGAGGTATCATATGATCATATGCACCGAAAACGAAACTGACTCAGAGAGTGAGTCACTACTCATTCGTATGGAGACATTTCGAAAAGCTTAGCTTATTCAGACTCACGGTTTGAGGAAATTTCCCTACACTAATGAGTAAAAGTGACAAACAATTTGAGTAAGATTCGTTTTCAGTGTGGTGTGATCACATCCCAAGCAACATTTCCGGTTCTATTATGGTCCTATTATTAACCTTTATATAATCATGATATCACCAAAATTGTTGCTTGGATATGTAAAGTGCTTATTTTAAAATGTATCATATCTACCGCTAGTGCTTTTAGTTGAAAGACGTTAACACTCCGCACACGATGCGTCCGGTAAAATGTGTAACGGCAAATTGGCAATGTTTGAAAAATCATTTTCAGCCATTTATCGATCGATTTCAAATCTATGCATACCGAATAAATGGTTAAAGTCTGTAATTTTAAATAACATTCTTTGCTCGACTGTCGAGCTGAAAACAATTGAAGCCATCGGAGTGGAGGTGAGCACATCAATTGGCCCAATCACCATCATCGCGGCGTACTGCCCCAAGCAAACCAACATCAGGGACGGGTCGTCAGTGGCCCTCCGGAAAGACATCATCAAACTCACCCGGAGGAGCGGGAACTTTATCATCGCTGGCGATCTAAACGCAAAACACCAAGCTTGGGGCAACGGTTGGAGCAATAGAAACGGCTTCATCCTCAATGAAGACCTGCAAGAGGGCCACTATACCATCTTGGCCCCGGACTCTCCCACCCAGTTGAGTCGGTCTGGGGTCCATGCGACCATCGACATCTTCGTAAGCAACATGGTACACAACATCTCGCAACCTGTGGCATTCCAGGAGCTGAGCTCGGACCACTACCCGGTGGTGGCCGAAGTTGGATCCTCGGTTAACCGATTCGAAGTTTCCCGGCGCAACTACCATCGAGTCAACTGGGCGCAATATCAACACTGCGTCGACACAACCATCGACTACGATGTCCAATCGGGGACGTCCGAAGATGTTGACCGGTGTCTACAAACCATCGAGGAGGCGATTTCCCGGGCCAGGGAACAACACGTGCCAGTATCCAGACAGGTGAGTAACACTCTGAACCTTGACAGCCTAAAGTGACTGGATCGTCCCGGCGACCCAGTGGTTCATCTGATAACTCCTGAAGAGAAGGCTGCCGCGATAGGTCAACACTTCGTCAGCTCCCATAATCTCGGACAAAACATCGTCAGCCCTCATGAATCTGAGGTTGCTGATAATGCAACCAATCTTCTTCAGATTCCTAAAATTTTTCCAGAGGAATCCGAGATTACGGCTGACGAACTGTTGGCTTATACCAAATCATCTAAAAACATGAAAGCCCCAGGTTTCGACAACATCCTGAATCTGGAACTCAAACACTTGAGTACCAGATTCTACAACCATCTGGCACTGATTTTTAAGTGCCTCAGACTTGGCTACTTCCCCTCGTGTTGGAAGTCAGCTAAAGTCATAGCCATCCGGAAACCTGGGAAGGATCCGTCCTCTCCTTCAAGTTATCGACCAATCAGCCTTCTCTCAGGGTTATCAAAACTGTTCGAAAGAGCAGTGTACCACCGGCTCCTAACATCTGCCGATGAAAACAACTTGTTACTCGAGGAACAGTTTGGTTTTCGGAAAGGTCGTTCGACCGTCCACCAGCTGACTCGAGTAACAAACATTCTCAGCCGGAATAAGTCTGTTTCGAAAACATCTGCCATGGCGTTGTTGGACGTTGAAAAAGCGTTCGACAATGTCTGGCATGATGGCCTGGTGTTTAAATTGCAGCAGTACGGTCTTCCAATTGCGGTCTTCCAATTGCAGCAGTACGGTCTTCCTAATGAAGATAATAAACAACTGTTTACCAGACAGGACGTTCCGAGTCTCTATGAATGGCATCACATCGGATGCTTTCAACATCGGTGCCGGGGTTCCACAAGGAAGCATCCTTGGCCCCATCCTATTCAACCTTTTCACCTCCGATATGCCGGCTCTCCCTGATGGTGGATCATTGTCTCTGTTCGCAGATGACACATCCATCATCTACAAGGGTAGGGTCATCGGAGCTCTGACTGCCAAACTTCAGAAAGGCCTGGACGTCCTGTCTGAATACTTCAACAGCTGGAAGATCCGTATCAACGCGGCAAAGACCCAGGTCATTATCTTTCCACACTCTAAATCTCCCAGACTTGTTCCGTCGGAGAATAACAAGATCTGCCTGAACGGCACAGTGGTGGAATGGTCCAAAGAGGTCGTGTGGCTAACACTAGACAGCAAGCTTCTTTTCAGGGAGCACGTTGACAAAACGAAAACCAAGTGCAACATCTTGATAAGATCGTTGTATCCACTTATCAACAGGAAGTCAACCCTGTCCCTGAAAAATAAGCTTGCTGTCTACAAACAAATCATCCTTCTTGTAATCGAGTACGGTATGACAACCTGGGAGAGTTGCGCAAAATGCCATCACCTTATACTCCAAAAGATCCAGAACAAGATCTTTAGGATGGTCCTAAACAGTCCCCCGCGGACTAGAAATTTTGAGATCCACCTCCTGGCTGGAATTCACACATTAGAAGAACGGAAAGTATTCATCCTGGAAAGGTTCAGAGACACCTGTCTGAGATCAAAACATCAGATCATACGTGATCTAGCACGATAGGTTAAGTAATACTCGTAGTTAGGTAGGTTATCACTTTTTTCAATTCAAATAAAACACATCCCCAATGGGGTATTCTGTAAACCAGCTGAAAAACGTAAATATTAAATTAGAATATAAAATTAAACAAAGATGAAGAGCCAGGTAGGCTAAGCGCCAACAACTTTGAAATTCAGTTGCTATCCATCTCTCGCACCGATCAGTCGCTTTATCACCAGACACTATATTCGAGATTCTCTTGTGCAGCGTGCGAGCGTGTGCTCTTTACTTTACTATGAAAGTGTTACGAGAAAACTGTGTCGTATTAGACACATCGATCCTTCCCAAGTGACCGTGTGTTTCGGTCATAAAAACATTCAATGAGCTGCAGCTCGATATGTCGCTTGTGACAAGTATCCAGCCTCACAACATAAAAAACGTTGTGTACCTGGGTATGCGAGACAAGGACGCGGCCGACAACATTGCTTCAACCCATGCTTCATTAATGGAGTTCACGTCGTAAGGATGAAGCTTAATCATCCGATTCCCTCTTACATTACTGTGGACGACGCAGTGACTTTGGTGTCATACAAAGTCAAAACTTGCCGTAACTGTGACCGAAAATCTCACCCGAAACAACGTTGCTCCGAAGTGGCAACAGCGGTAGCAGCAGCAAAAAAACAGAATTCTCAATCGGAGATGGGGAAAAATAATACCAGCAGCGATAAAAATCACAGCAACAGTAACATCCACAATAACACGAAGACCAACGGCAATAGCAAGCTTGCGGACGCAGCTAAAGATAAGCAGTGGCCTTCTCTTCCTAAGCCGGCAAGTGATGCAGATCTACACATAAACAATAGAGCAGTGATGAACAAGCGCCAAAGGTCCATCGAATCGGAAACAACAATCAACCATACGAAAAAAGTTAACACGAACGAACCAACTTCCAGTGATAGTGATTGCAGCCTGACCACCGTGAGTTATATTTGTCCCTACACTCAGCGACCATACAAGATCCCGTCGTTTGAGTGGATTGAAGATGAACAGCAGAAACGGGCTTTGATCGAGGATTACAAGCAGAAAGTGTTTTTTTATGATACTTGGCTCCGTTGAGTCTTTCTAGACACATGAGCCTTACAAATAAACAGATTGAAAAAAAAAACATTGAAATTCGTCATTAAATGATTTAGTTATGATTTTACAAAAAATGCTAGTTTGCCGTTATACGTTTTACCTGAGGCATCGTGTTCATAGTGTTAAACTGTAAGCATTTATTATTTGCTAACAATTAACTTCGACCATTCAGTAAATCTGCTCCTCCCATCATCTTTGATGGACTAATCTATTTTCATCCCATTACCATCAAATCCCCATCACCCCACAGTCATTGTCCTTTTAAACTTCCATTAAGTTTCTCCCTCACCCACCCCCGTGAGAATCTTACCTGAACAATGTCGCCCTGCTCGTTTCCGGACGCAGTAAACGTCAGATGGCAGAGGAACGGCAACCGGCTCCATTGGGGTGGTGGCACCGTTAATGAATACGTTCGTCCTATATCGCCGTAGTACGTTCGGTTGCAAACTGTAAAGATGGGAAAAGCAATGGAAAGCAAATACAATAAAACAATACAATTGGAAGTAAGAAAAAAAACGTGCGAATAACACCTCGGTGAAGGGAAAGTGAAGAAAATTACTTTTCGTATTCTTGTGAGCGAGAAAAAATAGCACACACAAAACAAGAAGGTGAAATGAAATTTAATTTAGTTCCAGCGCGTTCCTGACATGATGAAGAATTCCCTGTGAAGTGAGCAAGTCAGTGCAAAGTTGTGTTATTGCATGGAACCGAGATGAAAGCATCTGGATCCGTCGAGCGGGGGATCTTGGGTTCCTTTACAAACGCTATTAAGTCAAAAGTTTACTCGCGGCATCAAATTAGTTTCATTTTCCCACTCCTGTTCCATCAAATCAAGCACTAATCCAATATAGCAGTTGAAATGCGGATTTTGCTTATCTTGGATGGTTGTTGGTGACAGCACGCGTTTTGTATTACTGGTGAGAGTAGGCTAACCTACTTGTGAGTCAATTTTAACTAAGAGCATGGAAAATGTGGTTAAATCTCACGTTACGAGCTGTGAAATATCACTGCAGCCTCCATATCAGCGGAAAAATGACACACGGACACCATGTCCCAATTTTTTTTTTCGCTCATTTACAATTTAATTAACTTTTTAGGAGCGAGGTTTAATTCCTCGGTGGCTCATCAGGAATCATCATCGTCCTCGTCATTCTGTAACTGAACAGTCAGGAAACGACGGACGGAACACAGTTTCCAGCAAGCAGCCGTAAAGACACCCAACCCTCACCCTTTTGGAGAGTTATTTCTGGGAAGTATTTTCGTAAAAAAGATGCTGAAAATATATTTCACGCCTCGCACAATGCAAGGCAAGCGAGTTGCTTATTAACATTTTATGAGCGGATCGGGGGTACCTACAAAATCTGAAATGACAAACAGAGATGTAGGAAATTTTAATTATCCCCACCGAAGGCTTATCATCATTCGTTCGTTCGTTAGGCAAACAAACTTTGGCGCTTTCGTATACTTTTCCGCATCCATACGTAGAACATAAAGTTCTTCATAATCCTTCTTGTATCAACAGCACTGACTGACTGACTCTAATTGTTGAAACGTTAAGATTCAGGCCCACGCATTCACTGGCGAGATTACGCGAGAAGGAAGTGACTCAAACGTTGTTGCTCGGTTTTGATTATAATGGCATGGAGGTTCATTACGGAAAAACGGATATGAATGGTTTGAATGTCAATTGGTGTTTGAAGATTTCAAAGTTGTCTTTGAGATTGAATCTACAACGAACAATTGACGCTAATTGAGTAATGATGAAATCATGCCTCATGAGACAGTGTGATGATGTTGTCTATATTTAAGAGACTTTCAGCCATTGGCGGGATCGTTTCTGGATGTGTGATTTTAAATAATTCCATATCTTACCTGTACACATCTTGGGTTCGTCACTTCCGTCCCCGCAGTCATCCTTCCCGTCGCAGAATTTATCAAGCGGCACACAAAACGCGCCACCCTTGCAGGGATATTCCGATATCTTACAACTATAGCACAGTCCAGCCAGCTTCAATGCTAACGCAGCCATCAGTGAGCAGTGTATTGCTTTCATGTTCATCTGCAAATACGAGAAAGGGAAAACACAAAACTCATCATTGGTGAATTAATGTGTAGGTTCAGATTATGTGAGGCTTTGGAAAATTAAACAACAAAATTCTAGTTTATTTGTGTCCGATTGTGGTTGGAAAATTAATTCGACATTGACAAGAACCCTTCCCTTGTATAACCCTTCACCAAAGTCCCGAAACCAAAATATGACCAATTGTACGCAGCGATGCAGATCAAATAGAAGTGCGCGTCAGTGTGCGTGTGCAGCATGTGTCTGGTTTATACCTCAAAACATACAACATAGCTCGATTCAATTATGCATTCTAATTATCTCTGATTTGGCGATAATGATTTCATAAATTTTTCATAATTTCCTCGTCCGCTCGTTGCTGCTGCTGCTGTTGAGGCCGTTCAGGTACAAAAACGACAAATGAATGTACGCCATCCCCGGGTGGGATTGCTTCACCCCTTCCGAATCAGGATACCGGCAGAAGAGTTGAAAATCGGCTGGAAGAGCCTGAAATTCAAATCTACCTGAAATGATGTGGTTTCGGGAAGAGATTGAATCGTACATGGATTTTTGGTTTTCAATTTTCAATTTTCAATATGGTTCATAAACTACGTAGACAAAGTTGCGTTTCCTACTGCGTCGACAAACATTTTTTAGGAAATTTATATAAATTGTAAAATTGTAGCTACGGACTGCTTCATTTCAATTTATTCTGTTACTCGTCAATTCTATGTCATAAAAGTCCCTTCAATATTGGGGTATTTAAACATGACAATACAGGAGCCAACCGCTCTAGGACAATCAGTGGAACAGCAAAAACAGCAAATACCGGACGAACTAACTTTCATATGGACGCAGTGATAACACAATTCCAAGGGATATTCTCATGCTCCGGCATAACATTCAAAAGCTGCAGAGTTCCTACCTGATCACGAGTGCAGCAGTATTTTCAACAAGGATATTTTCGACAGTACTCGGAAGCCTTGGAGAACATTGAGAACCTGCAATTCATAGTATACTCTACACCTGTGACTGTTGTTCAAACGTTGGAATTGCGGACGTACCCGAAAGGCGATGATGAAGGCCGTGTTAGCATCAGCCTACCCAACTCCGCATATTTGAGACACTGTGAGAGCCGAATCGTCAACCGTCACACTGTGGACTAAGATTGGTCGGTTGGCACAATTCATGAGGAAAACCGATCATCGACGCTAGTTCGACACGTTGCTTAAATCGTCAAGTCCGGAGAACTCTATGAATTTATTGAAACCAATATTACATAGGACATCGACACCCGTGTACAGCCGTTGAGTGCTCTAGGTAAACGGATGCGACGTTTATAGAGATCGTTTGAAACGGAAGGAAGAATTTTGATTGTTTGACGCCAACGATAAGGAGTTCTACAGCCTCATCCAGAATAACAAAACTGACAACAGCGAAGAACTACCGGAGATGCCGATATCACACAGTGTTGGGTCAATCTGTGGGTTAATCTGTGGGTCAATCTTTTCAACATAACAGTGATGGTTGGCAGGAGAAGCGTAGTGAAGTAATGAAACAGCTAGCAAGACCGCGGTCGTGGTATCCGTCCAGTATATTCACGAGGCTACTTGGTGTACCAGGAATTAGGTTGCACTAGAAACAGATTTTAAACACAATTCTAGATAGAGCTTGAATAAGGCATCCTACCCGAAGGCTATGTTAGTTTGCGTGGGCGTGTTTTGAATTCCTAGCAGTCATCGAGAAAAGTAATTTTTAAAAAGCAAATGGGCTCTTATTCTAACGTTTGCATTAAAAAAACGAACTTTTTTCGAATGGTGATAAAAAAAGCTAAGACAGATAATTTCTTTTGATAAATTTCCCATAGAAGGTAATTATTTAAGCTTACTTGCAAAAAAAGTCTACGCCCTTGCGAGCGGCTTTTCGGCAGCTAACCGGAACATTTGCCATGGCGAACGAAACAAACTTTCTTCGTTTTATTTATCAATTCCTCCTCAGTTTTCGCGACAAAATTGTTGGAGTAGCTCTTACGCTTCAGGTTGGCCCAGAAATTCTCGATGGGACGCAGCTGGGGGACGTTGGGCGCTCCACCTCTTCCAACGATCGCTTCGATCAGTGGGCCGACGCCAGATCCGGCCAGAACACCGCGTCTTCACCCTTATGGTATTTCGACGCAACTTCCGGCCACGACCAGTCCGGAGTGAAAGAAGAGCGGCTTTGACATCCCCTTCTCGCTGATTGTCAGCCACAGTAGCACCTTCTTGGGGAACTTGGTGTGTGAAATGAACTTCACCTCGGAGCTCACTTTCTTCGTGGGGGAAGTAAATACGAAGTGCCCTGCCAGTCGTTGCCATCCAGGGTGAGATAGGTCTCGTCGTCCATCACCACCGCCACGTCGCGATTCGCCGGGAAAAACGAGTTGACCAGCTTATTCAGCCGCTGCCGCTGCGCCATTGCCTGCAGCTCCGAAACCAGTGGACGTGACTTCCGCTTCCTTTTTCACTGTTTGGCCGGTTGCACCGACCTCCCGGCCAAGCGCACGCAGCGATGTAGCCACTTTTCCCTCGGTCTTCCTCTTCAACATCCTTTGGAGCTTCTTGTCGCTCAGGGTCGTCGGCCATCTGGAACTGGGCTTTCTTTCGATGCTCTGATTGTTGTCTAATAGTGCCAAGATGTTGTAGATGCCGGAACGTGCGTATCCGGGGTAAACAAAGTGCCGCACGATGTCCGTTTTCGACGCGGCGGGGTGCCGTTCTTTGAACGCGCACACTTCTGAACGGAGTTGCTTCACTGTTTTTGCCATCACGGTTAGAGTTCGACTGATAGAGCTGTCAAATTTTGTCTGCTGACTCATGGGTTACTATGATTGATGCTGCAGTTTCGTCAGTGCGGGTGAAGGTAAACCCATGAAAAATTGACAATTTTTGTCCATTTTTTTAAAATGCAAACGTTAGCTTTATTTAGAATTTATTGAATAAAAAGTTTTTCACATTCCATGGGTGGATGGCTTCTAGTTGATCCTCAGTGGCTACCATAAATCATATCATAAGCCACAGGGGTAACCTACCCCCTTCACATGAACCAAAACACGGTTTATCCAGCCCAGTACACGCCAATAACATGTATTGCACATAGTGTTGGTAATCACATTTCACAAGTGACGACGGCAGTCCCAAAACAGCGGATGAAATAAAAGTTGAAAACAAATGCAAAGTTCCAGTTGAGACTTAATAACTATGAATTCGATTTAAATTATTCTTATTTCAAAGGCACTTTTACTTCCCTGGCGACAGAATTCTGAACTAAACTATGCACCATCCAATAGATCTTGTGCATCTGAACAAATCGGTAAAAGGTAGCATGTCAGTTCGTACACTGGTGAAGAAATTTTCAACTAAACTAGCCACCCTTATAAATCTGATAATTTTTTCCAAAAACAGCAACCATCAGTCTAGTTGAACTTTCAAGTTAAAGCAAGTAATTCTAAGTCAAATCGTATACTCGTTGGACCTAGTGTGAGAATTTACAATTCCTGAGCTGTCCACTATACAATAGGTCGTGTTGACAGCAACGTTCTATCTAGTCGAGATGTTGGCTAACTGGCACTTGTGCTTAGTGATTTTTTCAAGTGAGATACGATAGGTTTTGTCATTCTGCAGACAGCAAACTTCTATATAGTCATACTGTCATGTTAAAGCAAGCAATAAGATGTCAAATTGCACACTAGCGTCACATGGAGAGTGAATTCTGAACTGAGCTTTCCATCTTCCTATAGGTCTTATTCATCAGAACTACTTTGTCTAAGACCGCTACCTGTACGAGCGGTGCCGGTGGTGTAGTGGTGAACGTGATTGCCTCTTGCCCCAAAAAGCCTGGGTTCAATCATAGTCGGCGTCGCCGGGATTTTCCGAGGCATAAAATCTCTGAAGTAAAACGGTTGGTTTCCGATCCATGAATTGATGAGTCGATAGGTGGAGTCCAGGTGTGAGAGCTGCTTTCCTGACATCGGTAGCGTTCGTTGGTACTCAGTACGGAAAACAAGATCGACGGAAAACAAAGCAAGGAAAAAAAACACCGCTACCTTCTATCAAGGCGAAGTCGCAAGTAAAAGCAATAAGAAGTTTAAAAGTATACTAGTGTGATGTACACATCCAATAAGTCTGTTTCACTTGAAAAACTTTTCCAAAGACAGAAACCTTCTATTTAGTCATGATGTCAAGTTAAGTATACAATAAGACAAATTCTGAACTCAACTATTCACCTTCCAATAGACCTTATGCATCTGAAAAGCTTTGATGAAGACCGCAACGCAGTGATGTCATGGTAAGTTTGTAACTGGTTATTCATTTAGAATTACTCTTTGCACTCTTGCAGGAAATAAAGATATATTTTTTTAAACTGGTTACTAGGCTGGTACAAGGATGTATGAAAAAAATAATTCTCGTTCCAGTATGATTTCCGGGCGCTTTATGGGTCCTAAAATAACTGTGTAAAATTTCAGGTCGATCGGTGGAACTATATTTTAGCGCCAGCGGTTTTTAAAAAACTTACTTTTTCAAATAAAAATCTGGTAAGGTCACCCATTGTCCTCTAAAAATAAATCAACCCAATTTTTGTCTAGGATATTTTACAAGGAAATTTTTCTGCGAAGACCGCAAAACGATCTGACGCTTGTGGAAAAAGTTATTTAGCCATTACTGATTGCTAACCAAACGAACTGCTCATTATTCTTTATTCTTGCAGCACTTCCAGCTGCCGCCTGCTGCTGTCTGCGCGAGGCAGTCACGTTGTGTGGGGGTTTACTCAGCATGGAGGAAAGCCATGCGCAAAGAATCTTGATTTTGATGAAATTTTACACAGGTTTCCGGTATAGTACAACAATTTTGTTTCACGGGGGTCATTTGGAAACAAGCGTGATTTTTCACAATGGTGTATTTGCTTTGGCGCATAATTAATTCAAACCTTATCAGTCGATGTACTGCTGCTCAGACTTCAATATT